TAATACTAGTGAGATAATACTAGTGAGATAATACTAGTGAAATAATACTAGTGAGATAATACTAGTGAGATAATACTAGTGAGATAATACTAGTGAGATAATATTAGTGAAATAATACTAGTGAGATAATATTAGTGAGATAATACTAGTGAGATAATATTAGTGAAATAATACTAGTGAAATAATACTAGTGAAATAATAGTGAGATAATACTAGTGAAATAATACTAGTGAGATAATACTAGTGAGATAATACTAGTGAGATAATACTAGTGAGATAATATTAGTGAAATAATACTAGTGAAATAATACTAGTGAGATAATTACGTTAAACTTGTTTTTGTTAAGGTCTGTTTACAGATACAAGCAAACTCTACATATAAAACTGTGAGTTTCAACTTAAAGAACAAATTATGACCGGATGTTTCTTCCTCTCAGCTGACTGAAATGGTTTAAATCATATCTATCTGATAGATTCCAGTTTGTAAATGTAAATAATAAATCATCATCATACACCAAAGTTAGTCATGGAGTTCCTCAGGGCTCAGTGCTTGGGTCAATACTCTTTACTTTATATATGCTTCCATTAGGTAAAGTTATTAAACAGCATGGGATAAATTTCCATTGTTATGCTGATGATACACAGTTATATTTGTCCATTAAACCCAATGAATCCAATCAGCTACTTAGACTACAAGCATGTCTTAAAGACATAAAAACCTGGATGACCCTTAATTTTCTCCTGTTGAACAGACAAGACTGAGGTTTTGGTTTTTGGACCTGAGCACCTTAGGAATGAATGTTTCAGTCTTTCTCCCTCAGATGCATTAATCTGTCCTCCAGCTCTAATGTTAAAAATCTTGGTGTTATTTTTGATCAGGACATGTCTTTTATCCCCCACATTAAAAACGTTACTAGAACCTCCTTCTTCCACCTGCGTAATATCACTAACATTAGAAACATCTGATCTAAAGATGATGCAGAAAAACTGGTCCATGCATTTGTCACGTCTAGACTGGACTATTGCAATGGTTTATTATCTGGGTGTCCAAATACTTCTTTACAACGTCTTCAGTTGATCCAAAATGCTGCTGCCAGAGTCTTAACTGGAGTTACTGGGAGAGATCATATCTCTCCAGTTTTAGCTTCTCTCCATTGGCTCCCTGTCAAATCCAGAATAGAATTCAAAATCTTACTTCTAACCTACAAAGCTCTCAACAACCTAGCTCCATCTTATATTACAGATCTTATTGTTCCATATTTTCCTAACAGAGCACTTCTCTCTCAGACTGCAGGTTTACTTGTGGTTCCTAGAGTTTACAAAAACAGAATGGGAGGAAGATCTTTCAGTTCTCAGGCTCCTCTCTTGTTGAACCAACTTCCAATCTCTGTCCATGAGACTGACACATTGTCCAGTTTAAGACTTTCCTTTTTGATAAATCCTATAGTTAGGGTCGGCTTGGGTTTCCTGAGCTGTCCCTTAGTTATGCTGCTATAGGCTTAGACTGCTGGAGGACAAACTGACCACAATTTTCACTCTGCTGCTTCTTTACTTACTCTGCTCAACCTGTTTTGTATTTGTAATTATTTTTTCTATCCTTAACATGTGGTCGTCTTTCAGGTACACCTGGACCTATACCTGGACCTGGACTTATATCTGGACCTGGACCTATACCTGGACCTGGACCTATACCTGGACCTATACCTGGACCTGGACCTATACCTGGACCTATATCTGGACCTGGACCTGGACTTATACCTGGACCTACCATTCTGTGTTGGTCTGTCTCTCCTTCCTGTCCTCTCAACCAGCCGGTCAAAGCAGATGGTCTCTTGTCCTGAGCTGGTTCTGCTGGAGGTTTCTTCCTGTTAAAGGGAGTTTTTCTTTCCACTGTCTCCACAGTGCTTGCTCAGGATGGGAGACTGCAACGAAGCCAAGATTCAACTTGTCTGCTGGATTCCTTAGAGAGAGAACTTTACTAACTGGCTTTTATGTGAATGTTCCTGTAAAGTCCCTGAGACATCTTGTTGTGAACTGGTGCTTTATAAACAAAGTGAACTGATGGACCAATGTCACGTCAATCACATATTTGAACAATCCAATCGTAGAGCAGACGGGATGGGCTTTCGGGATGACAGTGTACTGAGCTGCAGACTTTTTATACATTTATATATTGAAATCGTTGAATTGAATAATACACAACTGAAGCTATTTCTTTAGTTTTGTGTGTTGGAACTTTTTGTGCATATAAAAAATGCTGGTTCAAGACCTCTGTGCCCATTTTCAGTACAACAAAGAGTTAGGTGACATTCCAACTTAGTTGGAAACAGGAGTTAAATGTCAGCTCACTTCTGAACACAAAATAAAAACAATGGATTTTATTCATCACAGAACATGGACCCTGTCAGCTTCTGCTCGCCTGTTAAAGACAAAGACCCACAGCAGCCCATAATATTCTGCCGTGTGAATAACTCCACAGAACAAAGGGTTCAGGGTGTTTTTATTCGCATGAATTCAGAAGACAAGTCTTTTTGGTCTGGTTTGACTGGAGTGTTTCTCCAGGAAGAACATGACCTGAGTGGGAGGGAGGCTCAGCGTGAAAGGTGAAGGGGTAAAATATCACCTGTACCCTTTGTTTTGAACATATTTCCATTTAGAAGGACCCGCAGCTTTGACAGCTCTGCCTTTCACAGGAAGCGAGTCGGACAAAAGCAGCACCCTGCTGGCCTATGACTCAAGGAGCAACAAAAAACACTGCGAGACGTTTGAATAAATGGCAGGACGGAGAACCGGTGGGAAGCGGTATTGATTACTGCGGTTCAGAAGTGTCCGGGGCAACGAGCCTGAAGGGCAAACCGTTTGCACCTGAAGCTGAACACAAAGGGCTCTCTTCAGGAGCCGACAGGTGAGATGAAAACGAGAACTGGGGTGTGTGGAGGAGAATCGGCAGAAATAAACAGAAACAAAGCCAGTCAGTGTGTGAGGGAGAATCATAAAGGCAAAATATTTCAAAGAGATGCTGCTGGAACGCCGCAGAGGCGCCGCGCAGCTCATCAGAAGGCCACGAACAACGAGGCAACAAAGGCACCGGCTCTTCTGGAGCCCAGAGAAAAACAGGATGGAGAGCGACGGAGGAAACAGGACGAGTTTACCTGGGAGGCCTGCCACAGCTGATGTGCCACAGAGCTGATCTCTGAGATGATGTGACGGATCAGGAAGGACTTGGATACTCTGCTGCTCCCGAGTGCAACCAGGTAGTCCGTCAGCCGCTCTGCAGCCTGGAGCCAAGAGAAGACAAGAAGATTCACCACGGCCCCGTTCAGCTCACTCAAGACCTTCACCTGAACTAAAACCAACAGCTAGAACAAAGTCCTGGGTCTTTCAGGTCCCGGTTCTAAATACCAGAACCGACAGAGTTCTGGATGGCTTCTGTGAGGTTTGTTGGTGGAGTAGTTCAACTGCTGCTTGAAACTGAGACCTGGAGTACACAACTTTGTTCCAGCTCATGCACCACATGATGAGAATGATGGTAAAGAACCTTGAAGTTAAAGGTTGAGCAGGACAAAAGATAAACTTAGCAGAAATGCTAACTTAAGCTAGGCAGCACGGTGGCTCAGTTGGTAGACCTGCTGACTCTCAGCGAGAAGGTTGCTGGTTCAAATCCTGGCACAGGTACTTTCTGGGTGGAGTTTACATGTTCTCTCCGTGCATGTGTGTTTTCTCCGGATGCTCCAGTTTCCTCCCACAGACCAAAAACATGCATGTTAGACTGATGGTGACTCTGAATTGTCTCTAGGAGTCCCTGTGATGGACTGGAGACATGTCCAGGATGTCCCCGTGATGGACTAGAAACATGTCCAGGATGTCCCCGTGATAGACTGGAGACATGTCCAGGATGTCCCCGTGATGGACTGGAGACATGTCCAGGATGTCCCTGTGATGGACTGGAGACATGTCCAGGATGTCCCCGTGATGG